ATTTTTGAGAAATAATGGCTGAAAACTTCAAACCTGACAAAAACTATAAACCTATTGATCCAAGAAGCTCAATGAATCACAACAGAAAGCATGAAGGAAATTACATCAAAATGCATCATAATCAAATTATTCAAAATCACTGCTAATCTTAAGTATTATAAGTAGCCAGAGGAAAAAAAATCATGTACACACTGATGAATAAAGACATCATATTTTTCACTGGAAAAACGTAAGTCAGAAAAAGCTAATTGACATCTTTAAAGTACTATCAACCTTGAATTCTATACCTGGCAAAAAACATCTTTCAAAAATGAAGGTTAAATGATGATGTTCGCAGCCATATAAAAGCTGAAGAATTCATCAGCAGCAGACATACACTACAAGAAATGCTAAAGGGTACTTTTAGGCAGAAGGAAAATTATACCAGATGGTAGTCTGGATCTATACAAAGGAAAAAAGAGTATCAAAAACAGTAACTAATTTGTGTAAACATATAAATTTTTTAATTACTTAAATAATCTTAAAAGACAATTGACATTTTAAGCAAAAATAACATTTGTGTGGTTTATAACATATGTAAAAGTAAAAGGCAATAATAGCACATAGCAAAAGAGAAGCAGAAATGAAAAGTCAACTATAAGGCTATTACACTATATATGAAATTGTATAAAATCACCTAAAGGTAGACTGTGATTGAAGAGGTATACTCTAAACTCAAAGCAATCTTAACTTAACAAAGTGAAAAATTATAGCTAAGAAATCAAAAAAGGAAATAAAATGGAATCACAAAGAACTCAAACCAAAAGGCAGAAAGAAAGAAAAAGCAAAGAACAGATGGGACAAACAGAAAACAAATACCAAGTTAATGAACTCAAACTGAACCACACCAATAATCACATAAAATGTAAATGACCTAAATAGCCCAAATAAAAAGCAGAGTATCTCAGACTGAATAAAAAAGCAGTATGCAAAGCATAGGCTGTTCACAAGAAACACACTTTAAATACAAAGACAAATATAGGTTAAAAGTAAACAGATCCTCATGTAATTGTAGATTAATGATACCAAAAAAATAAAAAGTAAACAGATAGAAAAAGATAAACTACGTGAACATTAGTAAAGAGAAAGCCAGAATGGCTATGTTAGTATGAAACAAAATATTTTAAAGTAAAAAATATTACCAGGTATAAAGAAGGTCATTTCAGAAAGACAAAGGGGTCGATTAATTAAGAGGGCATAAAATTCTGTTTATGAACCTAATAACAGAACTTCAAAGTATAGGAAGCAAAAATTGATAGAACTATAAGGAGAAATAGATAAATCCACAATTCCAGTTGGAGATTTTGAAACCCGGTCAATAGTTGCTAGAACATGCAGGCAGAAAATCAGACTTGAACAAGATCAACTAACTAGACCTGACTGACATGAATTAATTACAGCTTGGAATCTAGCAGGAAATGTTTATATCTTACCAAAAGTCCTAGGACTTTCTGTTGAATGGATGACTCAGTTGGGAAAGACTGAAAAGAAAAAGAAAGTAAAACCTGTAACTACCTAAAGAACTAAATATAATAAATGAATGCTTAAATCAATCCATCCATCAATGTCAAAATTGTATGCTAAATTCCCATTCTAACCTCTAGAACCCTCATGAAGAGTTCTAACCCTTGGTTTTCAATAAAGTGTCTGCAAGTGGTTGGAGATTCATCTGTGAGGTTCCAAAGTGCACTCAAAGTAAACTTCAAAGTAGTGTCCACTGAATTTTGATTGGTTTTCTGCTTCACTATTTGAAGAAGTTGCTGAAAGAAGGAAAATGTAATTAATTTCTTATTACTGAATTGTTATTACAATTAGTGGTAATAAGTACAAGTCCATGAGGATTAGTTTGAAGGCTTAATACATTTACTATAAAGATTTTTGTTAAGTATAATAGCCTCTTGGATCAGACTTTTCCTTTGACAAGAAAAAAGTATAGGATCTTAGTACTATAGAACCTTAGTGTTACAGTATACAGGATCAGTATAGTATTAAATATATAGGATAAGAAATACTACATTATTTTGGTCATAAGTATAATCTAATCACATGTAAATAAAATGAAAAGCAAAATGATTAAAGCTTACCGTCAACTACCTTACCCAATCAGTCATTAAATATACTCATTTCAGATCTTAGGATTGAAGAAGTGGAGTGGGGGAGAGGGAATAAAACTAACATTTACTAAGCATGAGCAAATTATATCCTATATTGTAATGCTGTCATCCCCATTTTTCAGGAGAGGAAATTGGAGTCTGAAAAATATTAAGTAATCTGATCATAGTCAACTTACAAGAAAAATAAGAATTGGAAGAACAAATTCTAATTCCAAGTTCTCCTTAAGAAAATAAGAAAGGGCAAACTACATAACAGTAAGAAAATTAAAGTTTATATTGGATTTAAATAAGATAATCGCTTTGAAATTCCATTTGTAGATTCTTTCTATCATGGCTTTAACCTAAGAAATTTAAGTTTTAAAGGCAAATGTCATAAGACCTATATAACGCATCTATAATTCCATTTTTAGATTATAGTTTTGGGGGTAAAAAGGGAGCTGTGTTCAAACAGATACAAGAAAACATTAATAAACACCATTACTTAAAGTTACTGCAATTTAGGGAAAAAAACTGAGAAACACAAAGGTGCAATTGTGTAACTTAATAGCATAGTAACTAAAAGTATGGCACTAGAATCAGGCTACCTGAGTTTAAATATAATCTCTGTATCTGACTAACTGTATAAACTTGTTTGCCAAATTAATTGTTTCCTCATCTGTAAAATGCAGGTGATAATTAAGTGTTCAAAAAAAAGCTAGCCATCATTAACATTACTACTATTAATTCCTGCTTAAACTAAGCCTTAATTTTCCAGCAAAGTCCTTGACTGGACTATTTCCTTAAAGCCATTTAAAAAAAACAAATTGAAGTATCATTGATATACAATCTTACATTGGTTTCTAGTATACAACACAGTGGTTCAACAGTTACCCATATTATTAAATCCTTACCCCCACTAGTGTGGTTACTATCTGTCAACATAGGAAGATGTTACAGAATCACTGGCTATATTCGCCATGCTGTACTATCGTCTCCGTGGCCAACTTATATTATGATGGAGAATTTTTGTGACCTTTTATCCCCCTCCCCCCCAGCCTCTACCCGATAGTAACCACCAGTCACTTCTCAGTATCTACTGAGTCTACTACTATTTTGTTCATTTTGTTTTTATATTCCACAAGTAAGTGAAATCATATGGTATTTGGCTTATTTCACTTAATATACTCCAGCTCCATCCATGTTGTTGCAAATGGTAGGATTTGTTTTCTTCTTATGGCTGAATAATATTCCATTGTGTATATATACCCCATCTTCTTTATCCATTTGTCTACTGATGGACACTTAGGTTGCTTCCATAACTTGGCTATTGTAAATAATGCAGCAATAAACATAGGGGTACATGTATTTTTGAACCAGGGATTTTGTTTTATTCTGGTAAATTCCTAGAAGTAGAATTTCTGGATCACATGGTATTTCTATTTAGTTTTTTGAAGAACCTCCATAATGCTTTCCACAGTGGCTACACCAATTTACATTCCTACCAACAGCATAGGAGGGTTCCCTTTTCTCCATACCTTTGCCAACACCTGTTATTCCTTTTCTTTTGGATAGTGGCCATTCACTGGTTTCAGGTGATACCTCATTGTGGTTTTGATTTGCATTTTCCTGATGATTAGTGATGTGCAGAATCTTTTCATGTGCCTGTTGGCCATCTGCATTTTTTCTTTAGAGAAATGTCTGTTTAGGTACTCCACCCATTTTTAAATCGATTTGTTTTGTTGTTGTTGAGGTGTATGAGTTCTTTATATATTTTGGATGTTAACCCCTTATTGGATAAATTGTTTACGAATATATTCTCCCATGCTGTAGGCTTCCTTTTTGTTCTGCTGATGGTGTCCTTTGCTATACAGAAGCTTTTTAGTTTGATGTAGTCCCACCTACTTACTCATTTTTTATTTTGTTTCCTTGCCCCTTAAAGTCTTTGAATATACCTTTAGCCAAGACTACTGAAACACAAATAGAGCAATTATTAGCCATATTTAAAATTAAAATGTCATCCCTGAAAATGGTAAAAATAAATAAAATCAGCATCCTGTTCTCATCTAACATATATTGCATTTTGTGCTAGGCATTTAGAATATAGTCCTTCAATTTTATTTTCCTTTTCAGTTAATCTTCACAATAACTGTGTAAAGCTTTTTTTTTTTTTAACAGTCCACTGGTCTTTTATTTATTTTTTTACACCTTTCAAGCCATGAATTCATAGGGAGTGAGTTCCAGTAGCAGAGGATCCTTTTCATTTGTCCTCACAAAATGTGCCTCTCTGGGTGGAGCAGGCTGGTGCTTCAATTGAACCAAAGCTTCCTTCTTTTTCTGATAATTTTCCTTCACACACCTCAGAATGCTAATTTGGCTCTTAGAGCGCTTAATATACTCAATATGCACATTAATTCTCTTTGCAAGAATCTTGCCTTTTACTTGTTTGTTCACAACAATGCCAACAGCCTGCTGGGTAACATCAAAGACTCTTTCAGTTTTGCCATGGCCACATTTGTGGGTAACATTCCTTTTTGAACAATGCCCATTCCCTTGATGTCTACTATATCACCTTTCTTGTAGATTCCATGTTACAAGGTCTAGAAAACATATAGCAGGTGCCTCTCCTCTTTCCCTCTGTGTTGGTCATCTTGGCAATTTCCTGGAAGATGGCAGTTCCAGTCAAAAGGCTGCATGAAGCATTTTTTATCATTCCTAAGAAAATTTATGTGACTTGCCCCAAATCACAGAGCCAGTAAGATAGAAATGGGAATAAACCTAGGTATGTCAACTCCAGAATTCCTACATTTTCCATTATACCACCACAGAGTTTTTACATTAATTTTTTCATTCATATCTGTTATTATGCTTATTAGACTGCACTGTAGGCATGTCTACATGGCTATTTTCTCAACTATACTGTTAATTTCTTATGAGCAGGAATTATAGATATAATTCAGTGTGAATCCCTAACTGATTCACACTGTTAATGTGTGAACAGGTGCTTGATGAGTAGTGTGATAGGTGCTTAATGAGTTTTCTATACATACGTATCAAGTGAATGACTTTCTCATTACATATGTAGTTTGTAAGTCATAGAAAAAGACTAACTCTCATTGTAAGTCATAGAAAAAGACTGACTTTTCCATCTACTATTCCTGTCAAACACCTCATTCCAGGATTTTAATAGTAAGGTCCTAAGGGGACTTTTGGCTTCCAGTGCTAAGACACAGTATTTATTCTCTTTAAAAATTTTTAACCTCACCGTTCACTATATTGTTTCCTCCATTGAGTGTAAGCAAGCAAAATTATGTATCAGCTATTTAAATTACTTCTTCCCCAAAGCATCTAGGATAATCTGATACCTATAACAGAGTCTCTACATTTTCTTCATAAATAACAAAATCACTGAATTTTAGAACTACATAGAATCTTATTTAGGTCCCAATGGTTCAAGTAATTTGTCTAAATTCACAAGATGAGTGTTTGTAAGTTAGATCCTAGGTCATCTAACTCCTAGTTCAGGGCTCTTTCTATCTTTGTTAAGGAGTAAAGCTGCTTCTTTACTTTTGAAAATGAGGAAATAAACACACTTAAAAGTAACAAAAATAATTTTTTAAATATAAAATGTCAGAAGATACACAACACTGCCTGAAAACAATGAAAATTAAAACTGTCTAATGGTCTGCATAGAGGAGATAACAGACTTACCCTAACAATGAAGAGCTCAGCACCAAGCTGTGCAGTTTGTTCTGTAGAAAGCTGCAAACAAGCATAAGACAAAGTAAATGTCCAAGACCTCACTAGTGAGTTTAATATCACTCACTGTAGCAGACCCCAAAGCTCAGAGTAACACCTCTGATCAACCTGGAATTCTGCAATAATGAATGCATCCTGAATAAGCAGGCTGGCAGAGAAGCTTACTAACTTTCCTGGCATACAGATTTTTGGAATAATAATAACTCCAATGGGAAATGGCTGCCTATAGAAAATTATTCAACAATACAGGTACCTTGGCAGCGAGGATGGAAATGATAGCAACCGCCATCCTTTGCATGTTTTGATCCTCATGGTTGCAGAGCCACTGCATGACAAGTTTGGCTGCTTCAAACCTAAAAACACACAAAGGGTTTCATAAATTAATACTGGAGGTCTAGGCAGTTTCAGAGTTCCATCAGCTGAAAACTGATGCTATGGTTTAGGCAGGTGAGAAGGAAAGGGAAAATTCCTCTTAATTGACAGTGAATAATAATTACACTTAGTATTTTGGAAATGGTACCTCATTATTAATTCTGACAGCATTTTGTGAAGAAACAAATCTGATATTCATCTTCTAGAATTATAATAAATTTCATTCTATATTTCTATTCTGTAGTGATTTCTGTTATACTATAGTAATAATTTAAGTATTTTCTGGGTTCCTCACAGTACCCAACACAATGGAAATGTTCATTCATTCATTCACAAACATTAACTGAGCCCCTGTTCAGTGCCAGATTCTGTTCTTGGTGCTGGACATAGAATAGTGAACAAAACAGAAAAATATCTCTATTGTCACAGAGCTTATATTCTAGTGGAGAAGACAGATAATAATTTGGATATGTAAGTAAAACAGAAGGTATGGTTAGATACTGACATATGCCATAGAGAAAAAAATAAAGCATGGACAGAGAGGATATGAAATATTGAAATTTTATATAAGGTAACTAGGGGAGGCCTCACTGAAACTTTTGAGGATGTAAAAGAGCTAGCTAGCCATGTGGTTATCTAGGGGAAAAGCATTCTAGGCAGAGGGAATAGGAAATCAATGTTCTTGAAGTGGGAGTATGCCTGGAGGTTTTGAGAAACAGCATGAAGGCCACTGAAGCCAGAGAAGAGGAAACAAGGGAAAGAATAGCACTAAGAGATGAGGTCAAAGGTAACAGGGGAGCCAGATCATACAGTCTTGGTAAATAATTAGCTTTTACTCTGAATGAGATGGAAAGCCATGGAAGGGCTCTGACCAGAGAGATAACAAGAACTGACTTCTGTCTTTAATAGGATTATCCTATTAGCTGTATTTAGAATAAACATCAGGAGGGCATGGCAGAAAGAAGAAGAGCAATTCAGAAGTTATTATAATAATTCAGGAGATAAATCACTTTTAGTCTCATCTAAATGGTAGAAATAGAAGGGAAGAGAAATAGTTGAATTCTGGATATAATGTGAAGAAAGAGCTGGATTTGTCAAAGGACTGAATGTGGGGTGTGAGATAAGAAGAGAAATCAAGGATAACACCAAAGAATATATCTCATTATTTTACCCATAAGATTTTATCCTTCAAGATTCAGCTCAAATATCACTTTCTTAGAGCTTTCCTTAACAAGTTTATCATTGCCTTGTCACTGCTCCTTAGCACTTCTAACTGTCAGAGAGCTCTGATTATCTGTGGACTTACCTCAATCCCCCACTGGCCAGTGAGCTCCTTGAGAGAGCAACCATATCCTATTTAGCCCTTTATGCCAAGAACCCTAATACAGTGCTATACATATACCAAACAGTGTTTAGTACCTGTTGGTTGAATGATTATATTGATGTAGGTTTCTCCTCACAACTTCTCTCAAATTTACTATTTCCTCCTATCTATTCTGGAATCCATGCTATCTCTGACCAAGCCAGTCACTGGCACTCTTTTACAATAGATTTCTAAGGGGCCTGTCTGCCTCCATTGCTTTCCCTTCAATTTATGCCTAACATATTGGTAAATAAATCTGTCAGAGGAATTAGGTATGATGTCACTCCTGTAACTCACAATACTTTAGAAGTCTTATCAATGGGCTCATACTTTCAAATCTTTTTTTCCTGCCTACGCTATACTCACTGCAAAGTGGACTGCTCATTAGTCCCCAGACATGCCCACAATTACAAGGTAAAATAGCCTGGTAAATTAAGAGCACAGAGTCTGCTGTTCTTTGAATTTTGGGGTTTGAATTCTAGTTTTAAATAATCTTAATGATACTAATAAAATAAATTATTTTATCATGTGAGGCAAGGCAGTTAAGTCATTAGGAACATCATAATCTCTGCAGTAAGACTAGATTCAAGTATTACCTCCACCACTTACTAACTTTGGAACCCCAGGCAAGTTCCTTAATCTCTCTGAATTTCAATTTTCTCATCTGTAAAATAATAACATTGATTCTATAGGATTTTTGTGAGAATTAAATGATACCACATACAAAGCTTAAGATTTAGTACAGAACTTGGCTTGGTATAGAAGCTTTTGATAAAGGTTAATTTTTACTAGTATTATTATTGCCTTTCTCTGTGCCTTTATTCGTGCAGTTCTCACAGCACAAAACAATCAGCTTAACTAGCTCTCATCTTTGAAGCAAAATCCCATAGGTGTAGAAAGTAGAGATTCTGGAGTCAGACTAGATTTAAATCTAAATTCTGCTACTTACTATCTTATCACCTTGATAAAATTACTAAATCTCTCTCTGCCTGTTTCCTCATCTACAAAAGGAAATTATAGGATAACAATTTCATAAGACTGTTGTAAGGCCTTGAATAAGCATATGTAAAATACTCAGCACAGTGTCTGACAATAGCAAGTGCTTCATACATGTTAGTCATTATCTTCATTATCTCAAATGCCATCACTAACATGAAACCTTTAATGCTCACCAATCAGATTAAACCTTTCCCTTCTTCTTTGTGGGCCCAATGGTATTCTGTTATCCTCTTCCACAAAAATTCTGTCTTCTATTATACTTACACATCCAGCCACCCATCTACCCGTCCAACCCATCCACCCATCCAACCCATCCACCCATCCAACCCATCCACCCATCCACCCATCCATTATTCATCCACTTAAGCATTAGGGGTAAAGAGATTTACCAATCAGTCTCTGTCACAAAATAGCTCAATTCTAGCAAACTGCATTGGCTGGATCAGAGATAGGCAAACTTCAGCCTGCCTATAATGATTTTATAGCTATAGGCCTAGCAGCGTCTTTTCTTAAGTTTTATTGGAACATAGTTACTTCCATTTATTTATATATTGTCTACAGCTGCTTTGAAGTACAATGACAAGAGTTACGTAGTTTCAACAGAGACCTCAAAACTTACGAGCCTAAAATACTACCTGGTCCTTTAAAAAATGTCTGCCAAGCCCTGGGCTAGTTTTCAATTTTCTTTAGGAAAGTGATTGTGTCTTTCCTACCTATGACTTCATGTGACCAATATGTATAAAATAAAATAATCTACATGAGATATATAGTTATATTTTTATCCAAACTACTTATTTCAAATAGTAAGTAGGACATCTCATTCCTCAGCCATGCCAGGTAACAGTGTACTGTTACCCAAATAAAAGTAAACCACAATAAACCTGCTGCTTGAGAAATGTACTTTTCATTAAATCATAAAATATAAATTTCTTTCAAAATACTATCATTGAAAAATTGTATTTTAAAATAGTAAAATGAGAAAAACAATCTTTTAGCTCCCAAATCACATTTTAGAAATAAAGGGAACCCTTTATACTTACTGGAGTCCAGCTATATGGCCTCCCTTAACCTCTGTTTAAAAACTTTCTCCTATAATTCAATATCAAATAACAATAAGTAAGATACAGAGAAAAAGTCACTGGATCCAGAACTAGAAGACTTAGATCTTTTTAGCCTCACAGTTACTAGTCACAAAACCATGGGCAAGACACTGAATCTCTATATGCCTCAGTTTCTTCAGCCTATGATATTATGTAGACATTCTAATCAACATAAATTATTAACCAAAAGGCTATAAAAACAGGGACTACCAATCTGCTATCATAAATGCCAAAGGACTAAATCAGAGAAAGTAGACTTATCATTCCATAAGGCAATGCACAATCCCATCCACTTGATTAATTGTATGACAGGGATATCCTGACAGGTAAGAAATGACCCAAGACAGAGTTCTAAAATTCGATTTTGCCCCATTTTAAGTTCTAGAGCTAGCTATCACTTGCCTGTTAAATGGAACATCCTGAAGGATTCGGTCACTGCAAAGTGAAAGGAGGCAATTCTTCTGTAACTAAAGAACCAAAGGGAGAAAAAAATCCTGAATAAAATATTGCTTTGTTATTTTTAACCAGGGGTAGCCTCTATAAAAAAAGGAAGATGACTAACGAAACACCACTTACTTCTTACAACCTTTATTCCACCCACCTACTGTTAAAAAATGTTAAAAGACTGACTTCCGTAAGATTCATATTTGTACATTTTTTTTGTCTTTTCCATTAGAAGAGTTAGGATAGCAAACAAGACAATTCCAGCTCATCTCCCTTCCTTCTGGTGGCCTTTGGGTGGATACTCGTTTGTCTTCTGTCTACCTGGCTTCCAAAGGCCATGAAAACCAAAGCCTAAAGTTCATCTAGTTTGGCAATTGCCCTCAATGAGGGAAGTTGGCTTTAATGATCCACTCATCAATCTGGGTTGCCAGTTTTACTTGGTTTTGGGTTTCTAAGTACTTTTTAATAACTTGCTAACTCTCTGTTATATTTCAAGAGTTAAAAATATAATCCAAGCAGCATTTTTAGTTCTCATCCTGAGGATAGAATAGATTATGCAGTCTACCATACTGCTAGAAATAGAAAATCCATGTCTTATTCATTTCTGTATCCCAGTACTTGACAGTATCCAGCCCAAACCGATGCTCTATGCCTGTTTGCTGAAATTATTTTAAAAAATCAAGATCTAGGTAGAAGATGAGTTTTGTGTGGTTTGCACTATTTCCCTCAACATTTGGATTTAAATACCTTTAGGCAGAGAACATACTCTTTTCTATTTCTCTCTTGTCCTTCACTCAGTCATACCACAAATTTATTACTTATAGCCTCCAAAAGCATTTGTATTTCCAGCCTTGGTCTACTAAAGTGAACTGCATGTAGGTAGGAGATGGATAGGAGACACTAAAAGGACGACTACGTGAATGACAATTCCCATATGCTTACCTGCTGGTGATTGGGAAAATGTTCCATGGCTTTAAGTAGTAAATGGGTCACATCAGCCAGGAGTCGGACAGGCATTCCTGCAGCAAGATCCTGCTTAGTTAAGTTAAATACACAGGCGCTTGCAGCAAGTTGCACTGGCAAATTCATAGGGTGATTTCTCATCCCAGTAACCACAAGCTGGAAAAAAAATTAGCTCTCTTAATCCACTTTAGAAATACCAGCCTTCTTCACATAGCAACATTACCTTGTTGATCTATAATAATTTCTAAAATGTCTTAAGTATCTTTTTCATTCTCATGTGCAAAGAGCCCACGACAGAGCAGTTACTCATCAATACTTAGTTCCTGCCACCTGGTCAAGGTAGGTATCAAGTTGTTTGTGTGTAGAGATTTTTTTAAGGCTTATCAATCTTTTCTATTCCAATAACTTATCTTTGTGTTTCTAAGACCTAGCACAGGGTCTATCACATGCTAGGCACTAACTAAATTCTTATTGATTTACTTACTGAATGGAGTAAATCAGCAGCAAACTTCACTTTCAAATCATAACATTCAGTTCCTTGAGAACACTGTTAAAGTTAAGAGTACAATAAAATCTATTTACTTCCCTTTGGCCTCTAAAACTATTTCTCTTTTCCTCTCTCCTCCCCCACAACAAATCCTCCCTGTTCCTCACTATCAGCTGAAGATGTTGCTTCCAACTACATTGGGAAAACTGAACAACAGAAAAGAATTTCAGATTCTAACTACTACGTGTACTCCCTTACCAGCATATACACATGCATATGCTGCCTTTCTGCCTGCTACCACAAATAATCTTTGAGGTTCCTTTCTGAGGATAATCCCTCCAGTTGTATGCTAGATCCTTCTCTTGTTGTCTACTCAAGGACAGTGCTTCAGCTGTTCTCCCCTCACTCCTATATCAATTTTTTATTCTGTACTAAACTGTTCTTACTGGCATACAAACAAGCTATTTTTTTCTCCCATCATAAAAAAAAAAACAACCCACTTCCTCAGCCAACTACCACCTACGTTCTTTACTCCTCTTTGCAGCAAAACTTAAAAGAATTGCCTCTGTTCCTTCATTTTCCTCTGCCTCATTCTCTGAATGAATGAATGAAGATCAGGACTAAAATCTGGTTCTTTGTCAAGTTCATGATAACCAAAACCAAAAAAAGAAAGATAATGCATACACAAAGTGCCAATATCCTCTGGTATTTGTGGAGGGGGTGACACGTGTTAGGAATAACACTCTAGGGACTGAAATATTTCTAGTTCCTACCCAAGGACCCCATCCTCAAAACTTAGGGGAGCTTATTTCATTTTTGGCTCTGTCAGTAACTTATTGTTACTTAGTCTTACAGATCATCAGCTACACAGGCTATAAAATAGATGATTAATTGTGGTGCCCACTAGACAAGGTACCAAATATAATACATTTCTATACTCACTGGTTTCAAATTGAATGTGCATAAAGTTACCTTGGTGTATTTAAAAAGTGCAGATTCCTATACCTCATCCAGCCCTATTGAATCTAAATTTTTCTTGGGGTGGAGTTCACAAATATGCTTTTTAAAATATGGAATATTCCAGATTTCTGGTGGACAAAAGATCATATTCTGACAAACACTGCTTCAAGAAATCAACAAAAAGAATCTTCCTTTCTTGTCCTTCAAAAGTTGTGTTGGTTAAAAGTACTTAATTGAGGAATAACATAGATTAGTTATGAAAGCACAGGTGGTTCCATAAATTGCATGGAAAAGTGCCTTATGGAATTCCAATATTGTATTTCTTAAAATAGCCTATATGGAATTAATACAGGGCTAATATACAATGCAATGTCCTGATTCCAGTTATATACTTCTATTTTCTACTAGATGGTGAATAAGTATCACATTGTTCACTGGTTTTAGTTAAATATGAATAGGAAGGCATTCATTATTGTTTAATGAGACTATTATATAACTTCAATGACACTATGCTACTGTTTTCTCTCTCATTTACGACCAGTAATTGAAATCACCCATCATCAATCCCATTACAATAAAAAAAAAAAAGATTAAATACAAATTTTCACTAATTTTCTTCACAAAACCATCATCTATTCAGGGAGATAATTTCAAATTTTTCATTTCCATATCCAAAATATTTCTTATTGTTACCTTTAAAATTTCTGGCTTTGTTTTTTCCATCACATGAGTCAGGCTAAAAAGGTGAAATAGAGCTTCCCGGACAAAGAATGCCCGTTCACTGTACCGCTTCAATGCTTCCGCAATCTGAGTTTCATTGGCTTCTCCAGATACCTATGAACAAACATAGCCAGAGATAAGCTTTGAGAATTTTTTTCAACCCCTTTCCTCTATCTAAACCTCGTCTGTATAGATGGTATCCAGGACAGCTACATAAGGCTTGAAACAAATGGGAATGATTATTTTCCAACCCATCTAGAATAGTGATCTTATGGAGGTGTACTGTCCTAAAGAGATGTACATTAGGTAGGTCCAGTCCCTACTATAAGCCTATGGGTAATATTTTCTATATTGCACCTAAAATAAATCTCAAGATATTTAACACTATTTAGAAGGTCTTATCACATAATTAGGATCCCATCTGTCTCTTAAGGTAACCCTCTTCTCCCAGCTCACAATGTTATAGTTGCACTGACCTTTTTTTCTGACCTTTCAAGAAATCAAGCTGTTTCCTAGCCAAAGGTCATTATATATTCTATCCTGACTGAAATCTTCCTCTCTTTCTTTGCCTGATTTCTACTCACCTTTACCAATTCAAGGTGAATGAACTTTAGAGAGGCCTTCCTTGACCCACCAATTTAAATCAGGTCCCCCTTGAAACATCTCCTTCATAGCCATTATCATAATTGAGGTATTAGATTAACCTACTCACCACTGTACCCCAACAGCTAGCATTATGTGTGGCTCAGAATAAGCAATTTCTCCACATTTATCAAGTTCCCTTTAGCATCAAGAGGTTCTGTTCAAAAGTAAGTCTATCTAGAAATTTCTCATTTCTACACATTAATACACTTACCTTAAACTATGGTTCATACAACACTGGGTAACCACATTTATATATATAATGGGGAGCAGCTTTTTATAAAAGTAATCTAACTAATAAATGAAAAAGAAATTATGAGAATATCACTATTATCCCCAACGAATTAATGGAACTGGGTATTAAGTGTCAACAATTGCTAACATCACAGGAAGAAAAAAAAGCTGACATTAAGTACTTCCTGTGTGAAAGAGCACAGCACCTAAGGATCCCGTCAAAGGATGATTAAGCCTCCAAATCCAGTTACCAATTTGCAGAAAATACAGAGAAATATGCACCATGAGTATACAATCAAGAAAATCCAGACTGAGGGTAACTACAAATTGAAGGCCTGGATTCTTAACAGATGAATTATAATGAAACAAAAGGGATAGGGAAGGAGCCTGTTAATTAGAATACAGTCAAAAGACACATAATTTTGAAAAATGGGCACAATTAACTAAGTGCTTAGAGATAAACTAGGTGAATCATAAAACCATAAAGAAAAGCAAGGACATGATTATTAACATCAGGATAGAGATTACTTTGTGATTACTGAGCTGTGATCAGGTGGGGCACATGCAAGAGCTTCAGGGAAGCTGACAAAATTCTGTTTATTAACCTGAGTGATGGTCTCAAAGGGTGTTCATCTATTCTCACTCTTAAGCTATGCACTTGTTATTTATGGTCTTAATATCTTGTTTTACAATAAGGTAAAAAAAGTGCAAAGGAAATCCTGTTGTTCAGAGAGAGATAACCTTTTCATAAAGTTGGAAGACTGAATTTTTTTTGGCCATAGCATTATATAGGGTGACACAAAAATAAATACTTAAAAAATATATTATTACCCAGTAGCTAGGTTTTATATGAACATATAGTATTCAAGTGCGAATAAACAGCTTTGAGGAAATGAAGGGCTTCATAATGGCTGACATTTCAACCATTGATATATGCTACAAAGGTCTAATATGAATTAGACTACAGCACAGATGTATGCCAAGTGACACAAGGGTACAAACTAAGCATTGTAAAAATAACAGTGGAACTTTCTTTACAAAATGCTTTTTAAACTATTTATATATAATATACATACACATTGGTCTTGACTATGTATTCACATATATATGCAGCTATTAAAAAAATAAAAACTTCCCAAGTGTTTAGCTCTTTTTGAATCAGCCCAAACTTCTTCTTAGATTTTCTTAGATTTGGAAAGACATCAAAACATTACGTAAAATAAAAAAGATTGTAAGAGGGAAAACATGTAACAATGATCTCAAGTCAGATTTCATTTACCCACATTTGGTTGATTCCAATAGCTTTATAATATATTATATGAAATAACAGCTCCAAGTTACCTTTGAATATAAAATTAAAGAACTTTTATTTATGGAATGTTAAATACTTTAAACCAGTTTCATTGTCTATATATTTCTCTCAGTGATCAATACTTCAATAGCCAGTGATAAACTCTCAAATCAAGCAATCTGGCTCCTCAAACTATAAGCATCTTCAATTCAATCAATTTCATATGCTTGATAAAAAAAAAGTGTCTGTATGTACTAGTTTCTGCAAACAACCTAAAACAGTGAAAATGTCATTACCACTAAATTGTGTTGTATCTAATATATGGAGTAAAACTAAAATTTATATTCTAAGGAAAAGTTTTCTATAGTGCTCTGTATGTAACTCTATTACAGCATCTCTCACACTGGATAAAGCTATTTTTAAATTTGTCTCATCTCCACTACACTAGAATTCCTCAAGAACAGAAGCATTAACTCAGATGTCTTTAAAAAGTATTTAGTAAATACTTTTTGAAATGGATTAACTTCTGTGCTTAAAAAACTTACATGTACCTTCACTGGATGCTGACTGCTGCAGTTCAATATAGGAGTCCTAGTTCAGAGAAGTTTAGGCTACAGTAATAAATTTAGGAGTTATCAGCATATAAGTTTAAGGCACAAAACACTCCTGGGAGATGAGGAAGAACCAATAAAAGAAAGTGAGTCTCAATAGTCAGACAAGTAGAAAAAAAAACAGGACAGGTGTGATATCCTTGAAGCTAAGTAAAAAAAGTATTTCAAGAAGGAGGACATGATCAACTGTGTCAAATGCTTCTTCAGATCAAATGAGATGAAAATTGAGAACTACTACTGGAGTTAGCACATTTCCAGTGATTCTCAGGAACAGGGAACCACAGCTTGGTAGATAACCTAGAGTCTGGGAATGAGGTGGCCAAAAAACATAAGAATCCTAATTGTGGAGAAGTTGAAGCTTCAAGAAACTAATGGTAACAGAACAGTAAATTGGGTGGGGAAACAGCAATGACAGAGTTGGAAATTCTGTGGTAGGACATGCCTGTGTTGGCATTAGAAATTGACAGGAAAGGAAAAACCTGAGATTCTCAAATTGAGGCAATGAGATGTAGTGGAAAGGAAACATGCTTTGGAATCAAATAATTCAAAGGTACAAGAGCAGGGTCTAACAATAGCTGGTTGTGACCCTTAAGCCATTCTTTTTCACTGAAGGACAATAATTCCCTTATGGAGTCAAGAGATCAAAGAAAGAACTGTATATGAAAGTGAAATAAACTGTTCTTATAACCACGGACACAGAAATAATACTTGGGAGTCACACTGACTCTATTTCTTGCCTCCATAAGTGTGGCCTAAAAAACTGAGGCATGTAAAATCAAAAAGCCAACTTAAACTAATTTAAAGTATCACAATACTAAGAATCATTCCAGGCAGGTTTTTCATCAACTTTGCAAAACTGGACAATTGTAAAAAAGGAAATGTGGCAATCTCCGCTCTTTGTCCTTAACATGACCTATTATTTTTCAGCTCTCAAGTTAGTCAACCAAATAAATTAAAATGAATATCAATTTTTGTGTATAGTAGAATAAAGGACAAAGTTACAATGATCTTCAAAAAAATCATTTTAAAACTGATTCTCAGTTTTGGCTGTAAATTGCAATCACCTAAGGAGCTTTAAAAAATACTGATGCTTGGGTCCTACCTCCCTGTAGTTCTGATTAAATTGTTCAAGCTCCGTAGGTACTTGTTTTTATTAAAAAAACCTTTTGTCCCAGCTTTATCAAGATATAATTGACATACATTATGTAAGTTTAAGGCATACAACATGATTTGATACATGTATACCTTAGGAAATGATTATCATAACAAGATTAGGTGACATATCCATCATCATCATCATCACACATAATTACATTCCCTGGTGATTTTAATGTAGTCAAAGTTGAGAATCACTGCTCCAATGTTTATAGAGGTGGAAACTAGATAATGACAGCATAAAGTAGGAGTTTATACAGTATAATGCATAATGCAGTAACAGTTCCATTTGTGAAATCAAACTTGTTTCATAGAGGCATTGTAGAATACAGATGTCTTACTAGCCTCAATTTTAAAACGGGCTAATTCACTTTAGGGTCTGTTGGTTTTAAGAATCACCAGCAAAAATTGTACCACTCTGGGATCACAACTATTAGAGGATCTTTGCCTTGAGAGGATGGGTCAGCTTAATGTACCAGGGATACATTCCTTTTATTCTTTGGGATGCAGGTCAAGCTCACCCCGTCTGGAAATCCTTCCTCAACTCCCAACACACAGGGATCTCTTCCCCTTTAATTTTTATAATTTTTTACTATCTAATGCATTAGTCAGTTAAGAAACATTAAAATAGTAAATTATATTTTTATGCTTCCCTCATCAAGTCCTGTACTAGAAATCTATCTTTTTCCCTAACAAGCTAAGGAAGTACCTCACACTTCCTATTACCATGCACCTGGCTTATGTGACCTTGCCAAGTTTGGCCCTGGTACCTACTTCTAGCCTTATCTCATCCTCTGCAACTTTCTACTACTGAGCTCCAGCCACAGTGGCCTTATTTCAGTTCCTTGAATGTACCATTCTCCTTCCTACCATACATCTTTTGCATATATTTTTTCTCTGCCTGGAATATTCTCTACCAACCTACTCATCCTTAAGATCTCTACTCATTCATCAACTCCTCAGAGAAGTCTTCAACTAAGTCAAGTCTCTCTGTTAAACATTCTCATATATAATACTTTGTATCTTCTAGTTTCTTAACACTATACAGTTTAAAGCATATATACATATATTATATGTATATAGTATGTAAATCTATATGTATTTAAAGTGTACATATACACAGCATATGGTATGTGATTGTCTGATTGCCTAACTCCCACACTAAATTACAAGCTCCATGAGAGCAAGATCATGTCTGTTTGGTCTCACCACCAAATTCCACCTACTAGTACATGGAGGCACTTGGTAAAATATTTATTGAATGAATGAATAAAAAAAGAGTGACTCAAAATCATCTTCTATCATTCTATTTTTTAAAGTCTAAATTTACAAATAATCTAAGAACTGAGATGTTTATGTTTATAACCTTTCCTTCTCTTTTTTTGAGATCAATCATGGTTACTCTAAAAAGGTTCCTTGCCATTTGGTCACACGATCAACTTGTAGGCCATCCCTGACTCTATTCCAAGTAGGATCAAAGGATGCTTCTGCTTAAGTGGTGTAGGCAGTAGGGGGAAAAAAGCAGGACTCTGTAATTAGATATAGATCCAAATGTTGGTCCTAAATAATAGTAAATCTAGTAATTTCTATGAGAGTCTATGTTTTTCATCTATAATTTCTAGTTACTATCTGGGAATATAAGGCATCTAGAGGATACAGTGTCAGAAAAGTATGTTTTCCTTAAACTTGTCATAATTCTATCCTTCATCTAACTCAGATATCATCTTCTCCATCAAACCCCAAATTCTCCAGCTAGAAGAAATTTCTCCTACTCTCTTATAGCACTTATACCAAACCTTGGCTTTACATCTGTTTAAGTTCATATTATCACTACTCTTTTCAGACTAGGCTCCTGGAAGCAGATCTTGTATCTTTCTCATCTTTGAATTCCAAACTGCATCAAGCCCAGTGGATGTTGGCTAAACTGGATTTAAACCATTAAGCATGAAAAACCTTAAGAAAAGCAAAATTTTACCACTTCTCCTTGGAGAACTTTAACTTCCATTAGATACTCAATTCAACAAAGAGTATCCTTAGTTTCTTTGAAGTGACCCATTAGAAATGGTATGTTTAAGTAGTTCAAAGTATCTAAACATTATCATCATGAGAATTCTCATTTATCCAGCACCTATGTTGGCTTGCATTTTACATATATAATTAATCTTCAGAAAAACTCTGCAAGATAGGAATATCTATTTCATAAGTAAAGAAATGGAAACTCCAACAAGTTGCATCGTGGCTTACTCTGGGTCATGAAGCACATATGCTGGGATTTTAACTAAGACTGACTCTAAAGTAGGCCTTTCTGCTATACAATATCCTGTTTCATGACATGTTCCATATATTATTAGACATCCATCTTAATGGAGACTTATACAACTAAGACATTGTTTGGCCTGACAAAATAATATCTTTTTAAAGTCTAACCTTCAAATATCCTTCGCCTGTGAGGAATTCAGAATAACCAGCATCAGTGGCCAGCAAACCTACAAACTGCATGCTGGGCCGCTGTTGTATAAAGGCTTCAACAGCTTTATCTGTCACATGCTTTCTCCCAGAAACATCTAGGGAGACCAGGTTGGGTAGGATGTCCTTTTGTTCTAATAAACGAAGAGCTATGTCTGATGTGAACTGTTTATCATCTGAAATATCAAGATGATTCAGATGTTTTACTTCCCGAACAACATCCAGTATCTGGGTAGTTGTCATTTTTAAACATTTCAAGTGGTGCATGGTTAGAGACTTGAGTCGATCTTTGCAGGCCAGCAGAGCTGTGATGTCTGTGATGGAGGTATTAGAAATATCCAGGCTCTCTAATCGTGGCAAAGAGGCAACTTCAGCCAGGTCTTCATTGTAAAAGAGAACATTGGTGATGCTTAATGCCCGAAGGCCAGAAAGCTGGCTGAAGCACCGCTCATAAGGATCTTCAAGGGAAAGAGTTAATGAATTCAGCACTAGGCACTGGAGATTTTGCTGGATCCACTTGTTACTGCCAAGACCACTGATGATGTCTGTAATTGTGATGTCAGCATTCACACCTGTGGCATCAAGTTCCACTAACTTGTGGTGGCAGAAAGCTTTCCGGAAAGCAACAGCAGAGATCTTGGCTTTGCGAATGCAAGCTCGCTTTAAGCGCATCTGGTTGCCCCTAAAAATACCTACAGTTCCATCATTCAGGAGACCTGGAAAAAAAACAAACATCTCTTTAACTTCAAAAAATGATTAAAGAGTAGCTAAAATTTCCAGCATACTTGACATTTCCAAAGCACTCCCATGTAGCAATATTTCATTTTATATATAACAATTCAGGGATAAGGATATTATTACCTACAATTTACTGATGAGTAAACTGGGACTCAGAAAAATGGTTTTCCAAGATATGAGAGCTAGCAATTGCCAGAATCACGACTGTGGTAGACATTACTGATCTTCACTAATATGATTTTCTTTGTCTTCCTAAATACATGAACAACTACATTTCCAAGCCTTACTCTTGGAGTTAGATTGGGGCCATATGCCTAGTTCTGGTCAGTGGGATGTAGGCTGTAGTTCTGAGGGCCAGTGCATGATTTTCCACACTATATTTACTTGCTATGAGAAATGAAGAATTTTTACATTTTAGATAGTGTAGCTTTATGAGAGTGGAGTCTCCATCAGCATGGATTGTAGGACCATGAAGCAGAACGCTCCATGGACTTGAGCATTTACATATCATGAGTGAGATATATGTTAAGATACTGGATCTGGGGGGTTAAATTGTTACCAATGCATTTTTTTAGCCTATCCTTTAAATTCACTATAACACACACACATTATTCATATACATTATACATATACATACACACACATATTCAGCAAGTATGTCTATAATTCCTTATTAAAACACTACCTAGATCTGAAATATTAATAAGGATATAGAGGTTATAATCCCTCTCTGTCAGATGAATTTAAATAGTGTAACTTTATTTGACACAGTAATGTCTTGAAGTCCCTTAGAGATCTAACTGATTATCAATTAATAATGCCAGAAGTATATGATGCCTTAGAGCCACATCTATCTCGACAGTACAACGTATTGACTAAACACTTACAGTCAATAAAAGGTAGCCTAAGAACAGTCTGGTGAGTGAGCAGTTGGGACCAGGTAAATAAATACCCTGGAGTCATGGGAAGAACTCCAGGTGACAGCTCAGCAGACTCACACTAAAGATAAAGCTCAGGCTGCCAGCCAGTCACTCTTATAACTTAAGTATTTTTTTAAAGTAGTAGATTTTGCAGATTTAGTTATGGTTAAAGAGTTAAAATCAAGAAATACCTGTACAAAACCTTTAATAATGCTCAAAAATGACTAAATATATAATTCCATTGTTGTAGATTTATGTTGTCCAATACAGAGCCACCAGCCACACGCAGCTTTTGAGCACCTGAAATGCAGATAGTCCAAATTGAGGTATAAGTGTAAAATACACATGAGATTTTAAAGATTTGGTAAAAAAAAAGGAATATAAAATATCTCATTGATAATTTTCTATATTGACTGTATGTTGAAATGGTATTTTGGATATATTGGGTTGAATAAAATTTTTTAGATTAGCTTCACCTGTTTCTTTTTACTTCTTAAATGTGGCCACTAGTAAACTTAAAATTACATATGTGGCTCACTATTGTGGCTCATTATACTTCCATTGGGCAGTGCTGTTCTAAAGATAGCCTTTTAAACTACCTGAACTTTATTTGAGGGGAATAAATTTCATGGTAGAGTTCCATCCATTGAACAGTTACTAAATAATTACTATATGTTAAACACTACCAAATGTTGTGGATACAAAGAAAAATTAGCTATACCCCTACACTCAAAGAATTCAAAACTCCATGGAGTTAAAAAGTCTCAAAAAATGGTAACAAAATGATATATAGTATACCAGAGCCAAGGACAAAGTGCCATGAAAGCAAAGAAAAGGAAGCATTGTTATGTATGGAGATTTGGAAAATATTTGATGAAACAGGTGATCTTTGAGTAAGTCCTCCAAAGCTGAAGGAAAAATTCAAAGATGAAAAAAGAAGGTGAGAGGTAGTAAAGGAAAAAAAAAAAAACATAAATTAAGCTTTAAAATACATATATCAAATCATTATGTTGTACACTTGAAATTTATACACCAATTATATTTCAATTAAAAAATTCAAGCAAAAAGACCTTAGAGATGTGAAAGCACATCACATAGATACAAAATGGCAAGTAGCTCTATATTGATTGAACATAATAAAACAACAAGAACTGTAAGATGTTTCTCTGATGAAGGGAAGAATACAGGTAAAGAAGACCTGGCTATGACTGAGAACATGGTACATTTCTGGAGATATAATTGTATAAGTGAGGAAACATACAAAACGAGGCTGAGAAGGTAAGATGGGGCTATATCACTCTGAAAGGGGAAAAAAAAGCAGATCACCTATAGATCTTGGGACTCAAAGTTCCTGAGTTTTTTTTCTTGCTCCATATATTCCAGACTTAAAGTTGAAGAAGTTGGCAACCTGGAAATGCCAACAAGCACAGACCAAAAAAAAAAAAAAAAACAACTCTGCTCACTAAAAAAAAAAAAAAAAAAACAACTCTGCTCACTCTAGCCAAAGTGCCAGGAAAAAGGGAACCCAGTTAGACAGGGAACTTTTAGACAGTGGCTTTTACCTCACCCAAACACCACAGAAAAATCTTTGGCTCCACCCTCATCCATACCAAATGCCAACAGGTGAGCCTAGACTTTGCTGAGCCATAGTGAGTTGCTCTTATCTCCTCATTGGGAACCAGGACTTTCATCCCTACTGGGTGGTAAGAACTACTCTCCCCTTCTTCCTTGTATGTCAGTGGACACCATCTGGGGAGCCTGGACTTTTATAGCCATCTGGCAGTAATGAAGTGGTCCACCCACTCCCTGCTGGGGTAGTGTCATATGGAAACCTAGAGGACAGTCAAGACTTTAACCACTGCCCAACAGTAAAGAGGCCACCTTGCCCCAACATGGTTTCAGTGGAGGCCAACTGGGAAGAGAAATGAGGTACTCATACTCCTGTCAGCTAGGGAGGTATCAGGAGAGTCCTAGTGGGGAACAAGAACTCCAACCGCTGCACAGCAGTAATGACGAGCCCCACATCCTGGGTGTCCAGAGAAGTTAAATGAGGAATCAGAACATCTTTCCTAATCTGGCAGTACAAAGCAGTACCTCCTCCTTCCACTGCTAGAGTGATGACAGAGATACAAACAGAAGCGTCTTAATAACAGAATACTGAAAACATGTGTATTTAATAAAATATCACTCATCGTATCAAAGACCAGTAAGACTATCTGTAAATGTCAACACTGAGATAACAGAAATGTTAAAATTATTTGACAAAGACTTTAAAGGAGCCATCATAAAAACACTTAACTGAGCAATTATAAACATGCTTGAAACAAATGAAAAGTAGCCTCAGCAGAGAAAGAGAAGATATAAAGAAGAACCAAATGGCAATTTTAGAACTGAAAAATACAATACTGATTGGGCTCAACAATAGAATGGAAGGAACAAAGGAAAGAATCAGTGAGCTGAAAGATAAAATAGAAATTACCCAATTTTACAAAAAAAAAAAAAAAACCTGAACAGACCTTTTTGTGTCATTGGAGTCCCAGAAGAGAGAGGGCAGGGTTGAAAAAAGTACTTGAAGAAATAATGGCTATACACCTACTAGAATGACTCAAAAACAAAGTAGTAATGCCAACTGCTGGTAGGTACGCAGAGGGACTGAGTTAGTCACAGATTGCTGGCAGAAGTGTGGAATGTATGGCAGTTCCTGGGTATTTATAGCAATAGCATTTCGGAGTATTTATACTAGACAAATGAAAACTTATGCTCTGAGGGAGATTCATGATAGCAGCATGAGAGGTGAGACAGAGAACTCCTCCCAAAATCACACATAAAATGAAAGTATAGTTAATACAACTAATCCTAAAAGAACAACAGGGAAGAAGGGTGGACCAGACTGCAAACACCTGGAGAACAGACCAGACGTCATGAAACAGGGTAATGTACCAAAGCCTTGATCTGATGGGACACAAGCCCTTCCCCAACCCCAACTCACCAGCCAGAGGAGGAAAAATGGAGCAGGGAAGGGGTGGAAGCCTATGACTGCTGAACACCTAGGCCTGGAGATCTGCTTTGGGAGCACAAACCTACATTGCATGGTGCTCTGGAGATTAGCGGGGTTGGAAAGCTAAGACAAGGAGAATACTTGGAGAGACTCAGATTCCAGCCATTTGTGGAGAACAAGGATCCACAAAGGGCTTCTCTGGGACAAAGGAAAGGTGGGTGGTCTGAGAGGGATGCTGATGGGGCAGGCTTAGCATGGAGCTTACTGTGTGGGAGAAGGGAAAGGTGGACAAGGTGGTCTGGGTGCGTTCTGCCCAGCAGGTTGGGAACTTTCAGGAGCTTTAGGCACTTCATCCCCCTGGTTGGCTACTGAGCCCCAAGGTCCCACACTGTGATACAGAGCCTGCTGCACCTTCCTCCTGGCTTGCCAGCACTGGCTCGCAAACCTGCAGTCCCTGCCCTGGTGTAAGGTCAGCCAGAGGAAGGCCCCATTTATGGTAGCTACGGACGCAAAACACAGAGGCTTACACCTGTGTGCTTGGCCCACTGGTTCTGACAGTGCAGACAGGCATTACAGCCGGGAAGCAGGCAACAGCTCTCTCCTCAACCCAAGCACCAGCGCTGCTCCCCTGCAACCCATGACATCACTCCAGGTGCTAAGCAGCTCCAGAGACTAGACCTTCTGGGCACTAGAGGGTGACACATACAAATATGAAACGCCAAAGGAACCTGGTTCAAACAAAAATCTCAGAAATACAAGAAAAAGGGCCAAATAAAACTAAAATCACCAATCTTCCTGAAAGAGAGTTCAAAATAAAAATCATGAACATGCTCATGGATGTACAGAAAAATATTCAAGAACTCAGTGATGATTTTGGGACAGACTCAATCATTAGGAAATTCCATATCTGAAATGAAACATACAATGGAGGGATTTAAAAGCAGATCAGATGTAGAAGAAGAGACATAACAAGGAATATAAATTAGCCAAGAAGAATACAAAGAAGCTGAGGCACAGACAGAAAAAAGGATCTCTAAGAATGAAAGAATATTGAGAAAAC